CTTTTCGGCAGCTGCGGCAGCAACATTTTGCTCCAATGTTCCCACCGTGACAAGCGTGGCTGCTTTCGACTCTTCGAGAGCGGCCACCTTGGCTTCCAGGGCTGCAACTTGTGCGCTGCTGTCTCCTTGTAGCGACAACAGGCTGGCCTCGTGGGCAGCCTTGTCCGACAATTGAGCAGCCAACAGAGATGCAACTTGTTCCTTCAATTCGTCTCGCTCGCTTTCAACTTCTTGCTTTGCCTGAGTGTGCGATGCCACAACAGCAGAGTGGGCAAGAGCTGTGTTAGTCGCTTCCTGAGATGACGACAGCTGCAGGGCAGCAAGTTCCTCCTTGAGTTGATCAACTTGGGCTTTAGATGCGGCAGTCTCCGCTTCTGCCGTCGCCAATGCTGTTAATGAGGCAGCTTGAGCAGTGGACAAATTAGTCAACTTGACTTCCATCGCACCCAGCGATTCTGTCAAAGCCTTGACATCGGCTTCGTGAGATGCTTTTTCGTCGGCCAGCTCTCGTTGTGCATTCACGCTTACGTCTGATATCTCAGCTTGAGCGACAGCAACAGACTTCGATAACGCGGCAACCTCAGTCGTCAGAAGATTGATTTCGGCTTGCTTTGACTCAATATCCGACTGGGCAGTGGCCAATTCAACTTGAGCGGCAGCCAGAGCAGCAGTGACAGTAGCCACCTGAGCATGGACTTCGTCAAGCTGCGTAGTAAGAGCAGCCAAGGCTGCTTCGTGAGTCACTTGGTCAGCGGCACGGGCGGCTACAAGCGCCGCAAGTTCGGCTTGAGCAGTATCGCGTTGAGTTTCCACTTCCTTCAGGGCTAGGATATGGGATTCCTTCGTTGACGAATGCAACAAAGCTGCCGCTGCAGCTGCCGCGGCGGCAGCAGCAGCTTCGCCTTGGAGTTTAGCAACATCAGCTCGCAGTGTGGACACTTCGGTTGCTTTGGCAGTGGAATTGGCTTCAGCTAGAGCCAAAGCGGCCGCAGTTGCGACTTGGGTGGCGTTTAATTCAGACAATTTCGCATCCGTAGCAGCTGCGTGTTGTTGAGCAGCGGCTAGGGACGCATCCAATGAAGCCTTCTCGGCACCGTGGGTAGCAATGAGCGCCGCAAGCTCAGCCTTCAATTGATTTCGCTCTTCTTCCACTTGTTTCTTGGTCATTTCAATTTGTTGTGATGTAGAAGAATGAGCAGCCGCTGCCGCAGTAGCAGCGGCGGCAGCTGCTGCCACTTCTGCTTTAAGTGCATCCAGCTCAACTTGGAGTGCAGCGGCTTGCGCTGCCTTGTTGGTCAAATCGGCCTGGGACTGGGTCAGCTCAGCCGACGTAGTGTCCTTGGAAGCAGTCACTTCAGTTAACTGTGTTGACACAGTAGCAAGTTTAGCAGTGAGGGATTCCACCTCGTCGTCCAGTGCAGCTTTGTCCGCTGAAGTCGATGCCTTCAATGAAGCCAATTGAGCTTGCAAATCTTCACGTTCGGCGAGCAATTGTTCCGAAGATTTGGAGTTCTTGAGGGCTGCAGCGTACTTCTCGGCCTCCAAAGCAACCAAATTTGCAGTCAATAAGTCAATTTCCGCTTGCTTGGCAATGATATCTTCCTTCGACGCAATAAATGCAGCCGCGGTGGCAGCTTCCGCTGCAGTCAACTCTGAAAGCTTTGCTTCGACGGCAGCTAACGTTTCTTGATGGCTGGCCAACGCGGCTTCGTGGGTCGTGGCTGCAAGTGCTGCGGCGGCTGTGAGCGCGGCAATCTTGGCTGAGAGATTGTTTCGTTCACCTTCGAAGACCGCCTTGGACCTGGAGTGTTCATGTGTGGCGACCTCGTGTGCAGATGCCGCTGCGGCGGCTGAGACTGCGGCCGCAGCTGCAGCTGCTTCTAACGAAGCCACTTTCTCTTGAAGCAAGACAATTTCAGCCTTATGGGCGTCTACTTCGGCAATTGACGCGGCAAGTGAGGCTTGAGCGACTTCAAGGTCAGCGGTGACGTTCTTGTGCAATTGTTCAAGAGCAGCGAGCTCTTCACGAAGCTTTGCAACGGCCGCCTCATGCTCGGTATCAACTTTAATTTTTTCGTCGAACAAGGACGAGAGGCGGGTTCGAAGACGTTCAATGTCTGCTTCGAGACGTGCCTTTTCTTTGGCTGCTTCAGCTGTCGTTTCCGCGCACAACGCGCATTCTTTGCCGTTAATCTGGCTTTCCAATTGCTTGATACGATTTTTGTACCATTCCAAGGACGTGGACTCGTGCATCAAGAGGAGCTTGCCCTCGACCGCAGCTTGGTGGGCAAGGTCAGGGCCATGCGCGAGAAGTGTGCGGTTGTTGCGGACGACACGAGTACGAGGAGTATCGGTGGCAGGACCACGTTCCGAGTAGAAGATGCCTCGAGGAGTCTCCGTTCGCGAGCTTTCTGGTCCTGCTGTGGAGCGAATCGAGACAGGCACATGCGGTGTCGTGACAGGCTGTGGTGGCAACGATGGGCGATTTTGTCGCTCGAACATTCTAGCCGCAGCGACCTTCTCTTCCTTCTTCTTCCCCAACCTCCATCTGGAGAAGATACCGTCTTGATGCTGCGCATCTACGCTGTCATGGCCCATGATGCGCGCGACGTCTGTGAGCTTGACGTGTGAAAAGCAGAAATGTTACTCGCCCAACTGCAAATCTCCACATGGCAAATGGGCGAAGACATGCAATTTTGCATATAATTTCTGGCCCATGTTGACTCGATCTTAATGTTTAAATACTCGAGAGGACGCGCCAAAAAACGTACAAATTTCAAAATCTATACTACAGACTAGTGCCAAATGCATGGAACGTTTCATATATTCATCTGAGCTCGGAATGCCTTCTACCAACGTTGCTGGCGATCGTCTATGGTAACGGTTACCACTCGGTTACCTCCGCAATTACACATAAACGGCGGCGGTGAAAGGAAGACGCCGTCGGCAAATCGGGACCGAAGCTACGTGCGAACGCCTTCGTAGGTCTTTCGACACGACAAAGTTAGTTTGTACGTGGTGACTGATGCCACCTGGATTTGCATCGAAAAGTACCTGTACAAATCTAGGATTGGTCGGTATGGCGAGAGTCAACAATCCCAACCACCCTGGCACTGAAATTGTTGAGTCCGAGAGCGCCAGTTGCACGCGATGGGCAATCGGGAGCGTCCACGGCAACGTAGGGGTTGCTCGACGAAGGGAACGATCTGCGACGTGTAGGACAGCCGACGCCAGTTTCTTCCCACCGGCCATTGGTGTAATTGGTGGGCAAAGGATCGAGTATAAAATGTTAAAGTGGATTGGTCATCCTACGGCGAGTGAAATATAAATTTGAAGAGGCATTTGTGTCTCTCCAGGCAGCCGGTCGACGGGGGCAGGACACGACGGAAGTTTCGAAGTGAACATTACGCGCGACTAGAAACACTGCTTTATGTCTGCTCAAGCAGATCGAGGGCATGGCGTCGGGTTGGTGTCGAATGCTCCGACAGGAAAACCCTCGTGTGTATGCTCCGACTGTGCACGGTGGACAGTACCAAGCTGTATTTTGTACGTGACTCAACTTGTGATGCTAATGTGGCGTACAATGGGGAAGTCCACCGAAGCGATGCTGGAGCTGATCTCGAACATCAAACGACTATTGTAGAAGATATCTTACAAAGTTGGCGACTTTTGTGGGACTCGTGTATTGCTGTGTTCAGAGAAACAACGACAAACAGAACCACTACAGTGAAATCGGTGGAAAATTGTCCCCAGTAGGCCTCCGACTCAAATGTGTAGTCGGTTCCCAATCAGGTAGTCAAATGTATGGTAAATATCTATGGGTATATAAAAAATGAGGCTCATTTTGTTCAAATATGGTTCTCCTTTGAGTAGATAAAGTATTTCGAAACCAGATCGACCGACACCTCGCAAATAGACTAAGCTAATTCGGAATGGACAGTAGGTTTGATCAAGAACTGCTGGACTACTTCAAATACAAAGTTATAGAGGGAGATGAGTGTTAGTTCTGGCCGTATTTTCATTGGCCACCGATACAGTTTCCCGCGCAATGCAATGCAGGAAGACGAACCACCACACACAAATAATTTCTACACGAATGGTTCTCAACGTCACGTCAATGCTGGAACGCTTGCAAGTTCAGGCCGTGTTCGACCAGCACTACCTCGAGGAGTGCTTGGACGTGTTCGGAGCGGTCGCCGACGAAGAGAACACCACCACCACGTACAATAATCCTGTAATCGACAAGGTTCTCGAGGAGAGTGGCATTGACGGCTTTCGGACCTTAACAAACTTCACGCCTGCCGAATTCGACACTGTATCGTTGAAGGCCCGCTCGTCCCTCGCTGGATGGACGGTCGGGGTCGCAAACCCACGACAACGGCAAATACACCCTGTTCATGACCTTGGTCATCATGAAGCACTACCAGCCCTGGGTGAAACATGGTGTCGACTTTGGAATAAAGGTGCCAACGCTGGAGAAGATGATTATGCGTGTTATTGACATTGCCTCTCCTGTCCTCTATGATGCTCTTGTCACCATGCTGTTCATGGCGTTCCTCTGAGACAAGGCTCCACCTTCGCAAACTTCCCATACGCCAAGTACGCCACTGACGTGAAATTTCAGCCCTCCCACCGTCCTTCACTTCGCTTTGGCGAACAAAAGCACTACTTCAGTGGAAAGCATAAACTCTACGGGCTTAAAATTGAAGCATCAGTATCACCTCAAGGCTTCATGGTCGACATGAGTTCTCACCAACCGGGGCCCGTCGCCGACATGACGATGTTCCGCAACGATGTCCATGTGGAAGCCTTCACCAAGAAGCCTGACGAAGTCATGGTGAACGACAATGGGAGCAATTCCAAGCGCATCCTACCTTGTGGGCGGTTCTCGTGGACATGGGCTATCTGGGACTGTCGCACACAATTCGCGCCATCCATCCGAAGAAGACGCCTGTGCAGGGGACGCTTGACCGCCAGGACCTTGAGCGCAATGCGGCGGTGTCATCGGACCGCGTCGTCGTTTAAAACTTCTTTGGACGCGTTTGCCTCCTGTGGAAGGTGTCGCTCAATACGTTTGCGTTGTTTTGATGCCCTTGCGTGACGACGACCAACATCACTACCGTTCTGTGCTTGCGCGCTATGCTCCAACGACGGAAAAAAGAGGAATCGACGTGCAGCGACCCAGCGCCGTCCTGCGCAAAGGCGCGCCGAACGTTTGGCAACTGACATGCTGCGTTCTTCATTTGCGGCGCGTTCTGCCTTCCGATCCCCATCTGGTCACCGGTAAAAAATTGTATGCATTATACTTGGAATTTTTATACTCAAAAATACGTTTTTGCATACAAACTTCAAGTATAAATAAAAAGTTTGAATAAAATTTTGTTGGCTTGTTTGTTTTTGATCAATGATTGGGCTTTGGGCAAAACCTCAGTGAATTGGGAAATGAATCGATCAATGGTTGGCTACCCTGTCTATATTCGAAATATTATCTGTTCACCAAATGACTCAGTCCCTCGTCAGCACATCTCAAGCATACGATTGAGCCCTCTCCTTTGCAAAGGAGCCTGTCCATAGGGAAATCGATTCCATTTTGACTTGGTGACCTAGTGGTACTTGGTCACATGTTGGTTTTGTTACTGTAATATTGTCGCAGCATTCATCTGCAGAGAGGCATTGGAATATTTTTAGCCAATGGGTAACAAATACTTTCACGACCTAGTACATGGTATCATACATCAGTCATCATGGATGATCCCCTCACTTCATCCTCCATTTGACAGTACGTCGCCATCATACAATTGTACAGTAACATTTTAATGCAAACCGTTCTAACAGAGGTTGAGAGCATCTAGGACTCATTTTTTCATTTTGTATATTGTATACAATTTGAGAAGGACTATTAACAGAAAAACCCTGAGATGATTTATACACCAAAATATCTAGAATCACGAGGTATTTGTTCTTACACGAGTTAGGTAATGCTATCTATTGCGCCATCTTCGCTACTGTTACCTCTATTTCGGACTCGCAGCGGCATCGTCAGCATCATCACGAGCATGGAGGTACCGACAAAGAGCCTTCACCTTCTCCTTCGTCTGTTCAATGCAATTGTAGATCGAATCTCTCGATAGACCAGCAAAGGCAGCATCCAGGCGACATCGCACATCTTCGAATGTCGTTGCAACTTAAAATAAATTGTGTACTGCCTCCCAACGACACCCTTAACCTCTGACCATATCGCCTCAAGAGGCTGCAGATCAGAGTGGTAAGGGGGCGTCCACACCACCTTGTGCCCACGGTTCGTCGCCATCATCACGACCTCTGATAATACGTATTTGTCATTGTAGATCTTCAGCACGCTCCAAATCATAGGCTTTGACGCATTCAGAGGCACGTCCAGGCCCAACGTCCTGTATTCGTTTGCATATCAGCTTTCTTCATCGATTCGTTTGGTGTTCCATTTGGTCGTCCACGATGGTACTTGGCATTATCCATTGCTATTATATCACCGTACTGTTCTAGCCTCTCCAACTCGTCCAAGACGTCTGCGAACCAGTCGACGGAGAAATCGTGCGTAAACATTGCGTGATAGTCCTTGGGTTGACGCTGACCCCCTTGAAAGGTTTCGAGTCCAACCAGGTGCGAATTGTCCGGTCCCGAACTCATGATGCCGGCGACAAAGCAAAGCGACGACCCTCGTATCTGGCCTTTGGTTGAGACAACTTGTCATCGGGATGGTAAAGGCTGTCACCATGTCTTGCGTAGAGATGGTGGGTGTAGGACTCGTCAATGTACAATATCGATCGGGCAGGTTCCTCCAAGAGTGCATCGGCCACCATTTGCACGTAGATATCCCGCTTTACAATTACTTTACTCGACAAACCGTACGTGGCACCACCTTGTTTACCTATCTTGACACCGTTCTTGATAAGGAAAGTCTGCTTAGCTCTCAACGCTGCAGCGATGGCCTTTGGGTCATTAAAATCAACAACCAAGTGCTTGTGATCGACCAACAGAGCCAAAATGTCCTCTGCAACGACTCGAGCACGCTCTAACCGTCTTGAACGCACGAATACAAGGAAGAGCGACAACAACTCTGCAGACCTTTTGATGCGTGTTTTGTGCGCAGTCCGGTTTGCTGGTGGGCTTGCAACGTTTATTACTATGGCTCCTGATGTACTCTGACCAAACTCGCTGGACTGTTTTCTTGGTACGACCCAAAATCCTCGCAATATGGCCAGATACGTCACAGTGACCCTCATTGCGGAAATAGGCGTGAAGGCGTAGGATGTCCAAGCGTACTCCAAGTGTGAGAGCAGGTGAACGCTTCGTAGAGACGAAGTCGTACAGTATACGTCGTCGTAGTTGTGCTATGGCATGTTAAATTAAAATCGCACGTGTGTCGCTGTATTTTTTGGCGTAACTACTTATGGATATTCGGCCCTTTGCGCAAGTATTTGCACAAACCCTGAAACATGATATTTATCGGGTTTTGACGGTACTTTTGGTGTTGAGGTCACGGACTCTGACACGATGGAGTCTAAGGCCCAGCGCGATGCTCACTCAGCATTGATCCAGCGTCGTGGGTCAACCACAGCGCACGAAAGACCAATGATACCAGGTACGCGA